ATATATTGTACACTGAGTGTATATTGTACACTGAGTATATAATGTATACTGAGTATATAATGTATACTGAGTGTATATTGTACACTGAGTGTATATTGTACACTGAGTGTATATTGTACACTGAGTATATATTGTACGCTGAGTATATGTAGGATACTAAGGTAATTTCATTTGGTTTTGTCTCGCTGAGATGACAATGGTGATAATCTCATAAACAGTAATAAATGGAGAATTGATTCATAAGGAAACAATTATGTGTATCTTGAATTATTGATAAGAACTGGTTTGAAGTAAAAACAAAAACAAATTGCAAATACCTCATTACATAGAGTGACCTTGGTTTCAAAAGAATATCAATTTTGAGTTCTTTATTCTTATCATGTACCAGTCTCATGATGGAGGATGACAGAAGACTTAACCCAGTAATGATATTACCACAGAACTGCAATATAATACACAGACACAGTAATAGCAAATATGCATGAACCATAAGGGTCGACCAGAAAATGCAGTAATTTCTAATATTGATTTATCATACATTAATTTTTGCTAAATTAAAACTGTTTTGAACTTCAAAGAAGAGGATGTGCAAGTGCGATAGTTTAACCCTTTTTTTTTTTAAAATCCTGGCTGTTATCTTACAATAATGGGTATTGCAGTACCCCCGGTACTCTTATTTCCCACGAAATGTTAAAAACTTGCATGTGTAAAAGCAGTCATAGAGAAACAAAATGCTAATACTTGAGTTAAAAATTATATGTGAAAATATAAAATAAATAAAATAAATCTTAACATCATAATGCAGTCTCCTTCTTGTATAAGAATTGTAGCTTAACATTTCCTTCATTTTGTATTCATTTGAAAATCATCATAATTATTTTTCAGGATAATTTTCTGCGAGCTCTGCACAAGTTTTCAGCTCAGGGTTTTTAATGCAATTTTTTTTTTTTCCTACATGCATGGGTTTTGTTAGCGGCATCTTGTTTCAGACAAATTTTCATTTTGTAACTTCTCCACTCCATTTTGTTTCTTCTAGCACAGAAGTGGTGAAATTGTTTTCCTGCTGGCTTTGCCTTACTTAGCAACTTTTATTTGTCTGCTATCAATGCACTGGCTTGTTTTCTGCATTACGTTTGAATCTGCATTTGCTGTGATTTGTTTGCCTGGATAAGCACAGCCAGGTATCTGGTTTCCATGTATCAATAAAAAAAAGTAACCATATTTTTCCTGCCAAAATTATGGTTTTGTTGTTTTTTGTTGTAGGGGGAATATTTAACATATACTTCATTCATTTGTGGTGAACTAGGTGTATCACAATTTACCAACCTTGACACTATCGATATGAGGTTTGATATATCCATTATCGGCTAGGTCAATGACATGTACAAGAGGTAACTGCTGCACCCCAGGTGGGAAGGCCACATCACGTACACGTTGAATAATCTGCTTATTGCTGTCAGACCACCTGGAGAACTCAGTCTCTTTGTAACCATGGATTGCCTACGAGTAACAAAAGTAATTGTAATCATGTCTGCTCACAATTACTTAACTCATCATTCATTGTAATGCACATAGCATTGTGTCTGCATTTCATTGTAGTCACATGTTTCATTAAACAGAAGTGAATATTATTTCTGCTTGGATTTAACCACATTCTGTGCTAAAACTGAAACCTTTGTTTGTGTACTGATGCAGACTGCACAAATCTCTGACAAATGTGTTACCTGAAATTATGCATGCTACTGTGATATAAGCCATCACAAATAATACAGTTTTATGTTGCCTCGCACAACACAATTTTGTTTTTATTGATGGAAGTAGTGTCTAAAATTTTTTTTTAATAACTTATTTGGAAAACCTACATTCCGGGCAATTTTTGTTTCTTTACAATACTCCACATGAAGTTATTGGGTGCCCCTTGGACATCATTTGTGTCCAGGCAATTCTTTATAAAAGCTATTAACAGAGTCAATATATAATTGGAATGTCCTAATAGTCATTGCAGATAATACATTAATAACCTTATAGCTAAGGAGCGATTTTGCTGACAAACAGTAAATTGAAAACGAAAAACATTTCCTTCTCAATTGTAACCTATACAAGGAGGAACGAGAAATCATGATCAAGAATATTAAATACAATAAAAGTAACTTTAGGATGGATGATGAACACCTAACAGATATACTAAAAAAAAAAAAAAAAAATAAAAATGACAAAACAATCATTGAGCTCAGAAAATTTATCCACACTGGTTTCAAATTACGACAGGAAAAATCCTAAAATGCCAGATGCCTTAAACCAACCACCACATAATTTAAAATTAGTTTTCTTTTTTTTCTTTACATTCAGATGTCTGTGATTGTCTTGTTGTTACACTTTGTTGTTTTTGTTTTGTTTTGTTTTTTTACTTTATTGTATTTTCAATCCCAGTCTGGGATACAGTCTCAATAAAGATTTTTATCATTACATTAATTAATTAATTAATTAATTAAATGAATTTATGTGGGGAACACAGACTGAGACACAACTAAATCTTAACTTGAGAACTTGGATAACATTTACAAGCTTACTTGACAAGGTTAAGTGATAAATTTGGAATTATTCAAAGGTAAATGAACTTCAAATTTGTCTTCAAGTACTTAAGTATATGAAGTACAAAGCAGGTCAAAATTTCTGTCTTAATTGCTACTCATCGGGAAATTGTTTTCACTTGGAGAGCATATTGTGAGTATACACAAGTGGAATTATCTAAAAAAATGATTGACAAATTCATCAGTTTTTAAAAGTGTAAAATACAATTTTCAAGAAGCATGTGATCTTTGTTTATGACACCTAATGGCCCTGTGCAGCAATAAATAAATCAAATTGCAAGAAAATAATATAATATATTAGTCCACGTGTGCAGTATATGCAGCAGTGAGCCAAATCAATTATAGTTAATATCACTGATCACAGGCCCTCTAGAGGGACCTGTGCACTGACGGACCATTATTATGTGACAAATTCTCTTTTTGAGAAATCCCAGAAACAATTCCATTTTGTCATTGTCTTGTCAGGTGTAGAGGTGTGAATTTTTCAGCCAATATGCATATTGTTAAAGTTGCCCAACATCAAACAACACATAATGCAGAAACATTATCTGATTTGAATTTTAATATCAACTTGGCAATTCAGTTAAATTTGAAGATAAGTTTTGATTAAACAAATCAGGTAGCCTTGATTCAACTTAATGAAAACCACCTTGACAATTACGAAGACCCTTCCAGACTACCAGGATATACTACTCATTGTCGTTAATTACAAACTATTCTGGCATGGCAAAAGTAATAGACGATACAACATCCACGTGTGGCTATCATATAGGGTGGAACCTTTCTGGCTTTATTTATTCAAACTGAACTTTGAACTAGCCCAGGTTTTCCAGTGTTCCACATTTTCCATTTTTGGTACTACCCTTTCAATATTTAGGTGTTTCATTTTTAATAAAACAAAGTACAACTAAAGTTCTGTTTCAAGTCAAGATAATCATTGTGCTCTATTCCTGGGGAAAGAAATAACTACGTGCAGTAAGTTAAATATAAATTAAATAAATAGCGCCCTCACATCATCCCAGTGGTCATATTCGTATCTCATTCTTTTCACGTATTTGTCCACTTCCTTGTACAGTGATTGTTCTTCTCCCTCCGTTAGGAAATCTGGATACACTAACATGTTGTCTAGCATATACTGTCGTAGTTTGTTGTCACACTTTTCGTGAAAATAGTACAAGTGCTCTGGAGTTGACGAGTTGACATTCGACGAGCTTGTCTCTCGCACAGATTCTGTCGAAAATGAACGGTAAAACCAGCATTTTGATAAATTGCTTATTTTTGATCTCACCAACGGAAGAGACCGACCGACCACGAGCATTGACATGTTTGCATTTATCGCTGAAGTATGTCTGCTATATAATAACAATCATATTTGAACAATGTCCATATTTCGCAGCCTCAGGGCGCAGCCATTTTGAACGAGTAAAATAAACAAAAATTGCAATGTCCGGCGAAGAGGGCGCTAGCAATCCTCGTTCAGATTCAGTTATATTTGAACCTTCGAATTGTGACTTGCTAGATTACTTTATCCGTTATTCTTATGTGTTACATATTTAATTTTTAATATAATAATAAATTTATAAATAATGTCACTTTATATCGAATATTATTAATAGATCATAGCATTAGCATAGCTTTGCCGTGTACTCGGTAGGACGCGATTCGTCATACTCATGCGCAGTTGACATAGCAACACGACCAGGACATAACAACCAGCTTCGATAGTATCTGTCGAATGCGTCGTCCGTTGCCTTCGAAAACGGGCGTTATTTGCGCAAATTGAAGGTGGGTTGTTGTTTTATCGGTTCTTCAGATTTCAGAATTTAATACGGTACTATTTACCCTTTCCTCCATAAGCATATGTTTATTTAGCACATCTTCCTGTGTTGTTCCGTGGACTGTGTTCAGAAGAAAAGCAAAATCAACACCGTGCGATCGAGAGGCTTTTACGTACACTTCCAAGTTCATCCAAGTGTCCTGCCTGGGGTGTCATAGACCAGGGAGTCCCACCGAAATTAGTAATTAGCAGTTTTCAGTTAGTCAACATTTTTTCATTCGATACCTTATCTCGTCGCTCAGCCTAACTTGGCAGTTATTAATATTATTAGAAATCAGAATGTCTGCATCCCTGACTTGAAGTTGACTGACCATTCTATTTTGGAATCTAAGAAATCCATTTTTTACATATTAACTACAAATTAGGTTCTGTTGTCTTATTTGTATTTCAAAGCAACGAATGAATAATATTTCTACTGGTTTAAATGGCTTGTCAATATAATATTGTTGTATTATTGTCAGGCAACCATTGTTGATTATGAAAAATAGTAAACATTATTCATGATTCGAACAAACCGTATGAATTATTGCCCTGAATATTGTCACCATTTGAACTTTAATATTGATTACAATGAATGAACACTTGTTCCTCCCCTGGTCATCACCCCATCATACTATGTGTATGTTGGGTACATGATAGTTTTAATTATGCTGACTGTTTCGTACATCATTAACAATTAACTGCTGTTTACACTGGTTCAGAATCGTACACTCATGCGTTAGATAACGAAGAAAGTGTTAGCTGTGCTACATTTGTGGTAGAAACAAATTAATTATTATTCATGGTTCAGGTGTTTATTGCACATTTTGTTTAGTGTAACTGTATCATGAACCAATTAAAAATTCAGAAGTTACTTTTTGTTTTATTATATTTATAATATGTTGTTTTTAAAAAAAACGTTTTCTTCTTCTTTAAAATTTGTTATGCAGATCCAGTCAATACCACATTTATCCGGTTAGCAATTAGCATCTGTCAAGATGTCAATAGCCGTGGCGCAAGCACGCCATGTGTTTGGCTTGAAAGGAGAGGTTGTTGGTAATATATGTTATCAAGATGAACAAACAATTGTGTATCCTGTGGGATCGAACATTGTGCTGTACAATATCGATCAAAAGGCACAGAAATTCATTCCTGGTTCCGACAAGAGCTTGGGAACCACCGCAATGGCTGTGAGCCCCAATCGCAGGTATGCTGCTATCGCTGAGAGGGGTGCCGAAAAGGCCACCATTACTATTTACGATCTTCATTCTTTGAGGAAAAGGAAGGTATTGAGCTCTAGTGAAGTCCAATCAACCGAATATGTAAGCTTGGCATTCAGTCCTGATTCAAAATACTTGATAGCGCAAGGTGGAAAGCCTGATTGGACGTTGCTATATTGGACGTGGGAGAAATCTAAAGTAATGGCAGTAACAAAAACCACCAATCCACAAAATAATGATGTTTACCAGGTGAGTGATTGTCACAGTACAATTTAGAAAATTTGCTGGTTTAATTTATATCCAAAGAACATAATTTAATACAAATTCTTATAAAGCATAGAAAATCTAAATTTTTGTACATGAAATATATATGCTGTTATAAAGATGATAACATTACATTTTTGTTTCAAATAGTTTATAGTGTTTTATTTTTTTTAAATTTTTGTAGGTCACCTTCAACCCACAAGACAACACTCAACTCTGTGTCGTCGGTAATGGAATATTCAAGCTATTCCGCTACAGTGAAGGCAACCTCAAACAGTTTGCATTCCAAAAGATGGAGCCACAAAATTTTCTATCTCACGCCTGGGTTTCTGATGAGAGAGTTATTGCTGGCACTGATACTGGTCGTCTCCTTCTCTTTGAGACTGGAGAGTTGAAGAATGAATTCTCTATCCAGTTTTCTGGTCATCGATCTGATGATAAGTAAGTATTGTAGTTATGTGTGCGTTCACTAATTTATACTTCTAAGTCCAATAATTCAAGTGTTACCATGAATGAGTATAATGTGAGATTACTTAACAATTTGATATTTGTTTCTCTCCAGAGAAAGGATGGGCAGTATATCTGAGGAAGATGCACAGCAGCCATTAGGACCACCCAAGATCACGTCTGTGGTTGCATACTCTAAAGGGTTTGCATGTTCAGGTGGCAGTGGTACTGTTCATATATATGAGAAAACTGATGATAAAGATTCATACAAGAAAACAAGAGAAATCAGGGTATGTAAATTATTTAAAGTTAAATTAATGTCTTACATTGGTGTATTTACCATAAAATCTGTATTAGAAGCCACATGCCTAATATAAGTCGTACCCATTCTTTTTGAACAATTGAGAACCAAACATTCACCATTTCTCATATGTGTAGATGCTCTAATAGAAGCTGCATTACCTCTGTATCATTGTACCATTTTAATAGAAGCTGCAGGTTTTAATACAGATTTTACAATATCACTATGGCTTTGTGTGTAATTAACTTTCTAACGCATTCAATTTGTTTTCACATTGGAGGCAGGCAATGTGACATATTAATAGAGTACCGTAAATATGGTACCGTAATGTTGTCTAAGAGACTTTATGTGAAATTGAAAAAACAATTGATCTATGCAGTCATAAATGTTTTGTAATTGATTACACTGTATCAAGTTTGTTATTTACAGTGGTGGATATTTACAAGATTTTATCCAATCTCTCCACAGGTTCCACAAGATCTTTCAGCCAGTGCTGATCCATCGAAGTTCGAAAACCATGAAATCAACTGGTTGACTGTCAGCCCTTCAGAAGAGACTCTAGTCTCCAGCACCAAAACAAACCAATTGTATTGCATGGCATTGTCTAGTGCTGACATTGGCAAGGTGAGATTACCACATATTTTACACATATCTGTAATCTATAATCCGGTAACTAGTAATGTGCTTATTACGTGCAGAGAACGTGAAACCCGTCCACGCGATACGCGCCACACAGCATGGCGTAATAAGCTCGGTTATTAAGCATCCTTTTTTGGGGATGCCCGGTGGCCGAGGGGAAGACGTGTAGTGGCGTGAAGCTAGGCGATTAGGTGCCGTACGCGAGCGCCGGTTCGAGTCACGCACGCAATACGTATTTACTATAATTAGACATAGTCTTTACCTTGCCGTTTATTCGGTGTTATTTGCTTACTTTACTTCCTATGTCGACAGCAACTATGAGTTTAGTAATGTGCTTGATGTAAATGTGAATAATTATCCACAATTGCCCTTTTTCTGCAATTTATAAACAAAATGTCACTTTTCTTTCTGCAGGGTGAACAAGCCACTTTTGAGGTATTAGCTCAACCATTCCATTTTGGTGCTGTGCAAGGCCTGGATGTGTGTATCCGAAAACCACTTATTGCTACCTCCTCCGTTGACAGATCTGTTCGTGTCTGGAATTATGAAACAAAGTAAGAATCTTGCATTATTTATCAACACAAGAATATTTCCACCTTCTTAGCTTGCACTCTTCAATCTAATTATCATTCTTCTCAACTCATGATGTCATCCCACATATATAGTATTTTTGTCTTCACCGAGTCCTGATATTTCTCTTTCTTTTCATTCCCATTTTAGCTCTTTAGAGTTATACAAGGAGTTCCAGGAGGAGGCTTACAGCATTGCTCTACATCCGTCTGGTCTTTACATCTTGGTTGGTTTCAGTGACAAACTCAGACTGATGAATTTGCTGATTGACGACATACGTACATTCAAGGAATTCACCATTAGGGGATGTCGTGAGGTAAGCTGCAATCTATACATATTTTAGTTTTATACTGAAGTAGCCAAGAAAAATCTATCTGTCGTATCTTTGTCTGAAGAATTCCACTTTTTCTAGCCTATGTTAACTAAACTAAACGCATTCATTTTTCTATAGTGTTCTTTCAGTAATGGTGGTCACATGTTTGCTGCTGTCCATGGAAATGTAATCCAGATCTACTCTTCCACCACCTTTGAGAACATTAACAACTTGAAAGGCCACAACGGCAAGGTACGATCTGTTGTCTGGAGTGCTGACGACAGCAAGATCGTATCCTGCGGTATGGATGGCGCTGTTTATGAATGGAATGCTTATACTGGAAAACGTGAAGGAGAAAGTGTCTTGAAGTCGTGCAGCTACACCAGTGTGGCCATTACACCTGATGGCAAGACTACGTTTGCCGTCGGCTCAGACTGTACACTGAAAGAGATCTCAGACTCTCAGATTCTTCGTGATGTAGAATCGGGTGGTATGACCTTGATGCAAGTGTCAATGTCCCACAGTGGCAGGATGTTATTTGCTGGAACCAACACTGGTGCCTTGAGATCTATGAAATTTCCTCTTACCGTCCCTGGTGAATGGACGGAATACATGGGTCATGGTTCAACAATTACTAAGGTAAATGTCTTCTATACGCAAGTTTAGGTAGTTAGCAATTATAGTGTAAATCAGCATTTTACATGAATACACTATTATTTACGAGAGATGGAATGTGTTCTTTTCAGATGCGTATTACGTATGACGACCAGTACTTGGTGACAGTGTCTGATGATGCTGTCTTGATGATCTGGAAAATCACTGATAAGGAGGGACGTGGTCTAAAACGAGACAAAGAAATTGGTTATGCCGAAGAAATTCTTATTACGAAGTCTGACTTGGAGGAAAAGGTAAACTTTCAATGTGACACAGAATAGATGCTGCTTGCACACGTTACAATGACAGATAATACCGTAACTGGCATTGAAATAGTCAGAATTTGTCAACATTCATAGCGTTTCTGTGGCAAAACCTGCTCTATATTAGCACTTGCATATAAAAAAAAGTTTTCAATGTCTGAAACTGCCGCCTGGTACAAAAATATATAAGAAAAACATTCATAGCTACATACTGTAAATACATTAATTATTTGCTGGATATTAATTTTGTTATTTTTGCCGATAAGATCTGCTAAATTAATGTGAACATGTAAAATAACAATAAAACTCATTGTTTTTTGCCAAGTTTGTGAAACTAAAGCCCAGTGAAAATTGATCGAATTATCAAAATAGTAAAATTAAATGCCAGTATTGGTATATGTTTCTAATCTTACAATTCACTCTCACTCTACATTAGAACTCAATGATGTCCGAGTTGAAAACTCGTGTGGATGAACTGAAGATGGAGAATGAATACCAGCTAAGACTCAAAGACATGAACTACAATGAAAAGATCAAAGAACTGACGGAAAAGTTCATCCAAGAGATGGAGTCTTTGAAAACCAAGAACCAGGTGTTGAAAACTGACAAGGACAAGGAGGAAGCCAAGCATGAGGAGGAGATTGCGGAACTCATGGAAAAGAATTCAAAGGAACTGCAAGATCTTGGTGAGTGTTACGCCAGGGTTTTGTGAACTTGGTAGCATATACATTGTACACCAAAAGAGGGATTTATGGACTTTTTGCCATTTATAAAGCTGGTGATGAACATTAGAAATAAATTAGTAATGGTGAATCAATGTTTTGTTTCATGTACTGTTACTTGCAGAGAGTGCCAACAACCAGAAATTAATGCTGGAATACGAGAAGTACCAGGAACTGCAAGCCAAGAGTCAGAAAATGCAGGAGGACTACGAAAGACAACTTCAGGAAATGGAAGAGTCAAAAGAAGCAGCTCTGGAAGAACTGACAGAATATTATGAAGCCAAGTTACAAGAAAAAACAATACTTCTAGACCAGGTAAAATAAATCTGGATATATGAACTATTGGACTCGCTGTACATGTATATAATCCCTGTTTTCTAATATTGCTTTGTACTGTAACAACAATCTAAACCAGTGTCATTTTATTTGTCTGTATGTAGGCCAATGATGAGTCACGTCAACAACAACGTGAATATGAAGAGACAAAGAAGCAAATAGAAGAAGATGCAGACAGGGAAATCTTGGATATCAAGAACAAATTTGAAAGGAGATTGAGAGATGAAAAAGAAGCCAACTTGAGATTGAAAGGGGAGACTGGTATTATGAAAAAGAAGGTATGTTCACAGTGTTAATAATAGTGTTCAGATCAACCATCTGAATAAGATATTGGTAATAGTTGTCAGGACTGATAAATCACATACTACTAGTAAACTATCATTGTGTTAAATGTCTAATTACTAAAAACTACGGTTACCAATGTCCATATTTGTATAGTATTATTTGACTAGGTGTGTGAAAACACCAATGTGATAATGATAACAGAAGATCAAGTCATACTGAATATCTACCAATGTATAAATTTTATTTGTTTACAGTTTACCAGTCTTCAGAAAGAGATTGAAGATCATAAAGAGGAGATCAAGAAACTGAATAATGAGCAGCAGAAACTGCAAGGTGTGATCAAATCCTTGGAGAAGGACATCTATGGTCTGAAGAAAGAGATACAGGAGAGAGATGAAACTATCCAAGACAAGGAGAAACGCATCTATGATCTTAAAAAGAAGAACCAAGAATTGGAGAAGTTCAAGTTTGTCTTGGACTACAAGATTAAGGAACTAAAGAAACAGATTGAACCCCGAGAGAATGACATTAAGGCCATGAAGGAACAGATACAAGAGGTCAGTTGGAGGCACACCCAAGTTTTTTCGTGTATATTAATGACTAGATCATCTTGCAGCCATTTATGGTATGCCTGGATATTACTGTCACTGCCATATTGTTCTGAACATCAAAACAGCACCATTATGAGCTAAGTTGTAAACCAACGCTTGAAAATTCAGCCCCAAAATAAAGCTGTACACTGATAACAATGTGGTATATTTACAATCCTTTGTAAATTATAATAATGCGTATGTAGTATTAAAAGTGACTGTTATTAATTTATATTATGTTTATAGATGGAGAGTGAGTTGGAGAGATTCCACAAACAGAACACTCAGCTAGAATTGAACATTACAGAACTCAGACAGAAACTAAAAGCCACTGAAAAGGAAATGCACCTAGAGAGACAGAAGGTGAGATTTGTATTTGAGGATAAAATAACTAAATTAAGTCGTTCTATTTTACTTTCAGTAATAAATACTGTGAAATATAGTGTAGTGTTTTGTGTTTACACTGCAATATGTAACATGGAATCCTTTTTTTCACTCAGGTACGTGATTCTGAAGCCATGCTGCGCAGATTTAAGACTGATCTTCATAATTGTATTGGTTACATCCAAGATCCTAAGAAATTGAAAGATAGTATCAAACAGTTGTACCAGAAACATGTACAGGATGATACAGTAAGTCATCATCACTATTGTTATTATGTTTGTTTCCTAAAAGTCCAACTTAACAAATTTAAATGTCATCAAATTTGTGGCCATTATATTTTGATATGTACATGCCTTTTACAAATAGGCACACAGACCAGCATTACGAAGGGTTATAGATTCAAATCATGCTTGTGTGTATATTTTTACGACAATTCTAATGATTATTTCTTTTTTCCCCCAACAGCCTGAGTCAGCCAGTGTAGATGCAGATATACAGAGAGAATATAGTCGTCAGCGTAAACACTTAGAACAGAGTGTATCGTCACTTAGAAAGAAACTAGCCAAAGATACAGAAATTCATAGAGCGGACAATGTCAGAATTATGCAGGTTAGTGTACATCTACCTTATAGTGTTAGAGATGAGAGTTTTTTGACATGTGTTTCAATTTGCTCACAATATAGGTATATATGGGTTACGAAAACTTAGTTATTGCTTGTTTTTTATCAAAACATCTCATGTATTATATTTGAAAATTAACTTACTGTGTTGTATCACCCTTCCAGGAAAATGTATCGCTTATCAAAGAAATTAACGACTTGAGAAGAGAACTGAAAATTGCCAGAACACAGGTGCATGATCTTGAGGCTGCTCTGGGAATCAGTCGTAAAAACAAAAACCAGCCATTACCCGATCAAACAGCTAGCGCTCTTGTAATGAGCAGTGCGCAATCAAGCCGTGATCAAGAAGCCAGTATGGAGACGGCAAAAATTATCGACATGCAGAAAGGTGAAATAAAGAAACTGAGAAGGCAGATGTACGAACTAGAATTGATGGCGCAAGAGCGGCCACCATCAGGAACGCGATTACCACCAATGTCCGTCCAGTAAAACTGAACTTTGTAGTAGTGTATCATATATCAAGTTTGTAAACTTTTACGTGTGTAAATATGACTCTCTCAAATAAAAAGTTACAAAAAACTGGATAGCAATGAAATTTAATAGCTTGTGTCGTTGTACTGTAAAATTTGATGTTTGGGGGCAGATTCAATGGAAATATTTTGGGGATTTTATTTGTATTCAAAGTGGATTCCAATTGTGTGCGTTTTGTAAAGTATCAAGAAATGTACAGAGAATCTCAAAGACGAAACTAACTATTAAAATATTTAAATATCCGATTTTACTATCCATAGCAATGTAGAAATCATGGTGAATTTGAAAATGTATAAATAGTTTAAAATACACATTTTGTAAAAAAAACCATGTGTTTTTTTGTATGAAATGTATGTTTGATAAAATAATAAAAACACCATTGAAATGTCAAGTGTTAGTTATTTATTACGCAAGGTTGTTAGTGTTGTAATAAATTAAATAAACCTTAGATAAAAATTGTGATTTTAAGCCATTTATAGTAATACAAATGGTTCCTATGGTATGATTTTGTCATACTGTAAAATACATGTTGAAAAAGCGACATATTATTTTAGCGAATTGTTGTAAAATGACGTACTAGCGAAATGTTGATTTAGTGAATCTCTCGTCTTTATTGATTTCCTGTTTTCACAATACTTGTCTGTCGCCTACCAAAACAAATGCGCAGTTATCACCTCCATAAAAACTGTCAAGTGTAATAAGGAAACGTTCCAGAATATTACGTTTTCTGTGTTGTTTACAAAATGTGTGTGTGGAGAAAAAGACGTTATTTGGCCGCCATTTTGAGTTTATAATGAAGTCATTAGCGACATCTTAAATTAGCAAATTAGTTCTCTCGCTAAATTCGCTAAAAAGACATGCTCGCGAAAAAGACGTTTTACAATATCTCAAAATTTTGTTTGGTTACATATGGTGAAAAAAAAAATATATGTAGATATAAGATGGCTGGCTACTTATGATTGTCCCAAATTATTTGAAACCTCTGCCAAATATTATTAATTAACGGTTCTATTTTTACAAAGTTTTTTTCCAAAACAATATTTAATATTGAATAAAATAACCAAAAGGTCATTCAAATCTTTAGTTCACTTTGACCAGACTTAGTATCGGTACTTCCTATCTGCTTTATTTGTGACTTGCGTGTGCAAAGCACACAATGAGAGTCTTTGCAGTTAGTGTGTCTGTATGTATGTATGATGCCTAGGTATGATTGGGTTTTGGATTAAACCATGCATATAATTACCTAATTTACATGATAAATAGCTGTTCCATTGATATCTAAAAAAACCAATCATTGAATGAAACTTGATTTGCTTATCGATTTCGCAATTTTCGGCTTTTCCACTGATATCCCCAAGTACTAATCATTACATTACAATAAAACTTGGTACATAGATGTCATAAGACAATGCACAGACCTGTAAAGTGTTATGTTAATATCCGTCCATATTAATTACTTAATTTGCATAATTAGTTGATTTTTGGCTTTTCCACATCTAAAGTACTAATCATCACATTTCATGGAAATTTGCTTCATAGATGCTCTGAGATAATCCACAGATGTGATTAGTTTAATAATGAAAAACATGCATACTGCTTATCTAATTATTAGCAAATTTCTGACATCTCAAAAAATCAAATTTAAATTGAAATTGTGGTTGATGAGCTCTGGAATACAGTAGACTGAAAACCAGATGTTAAATCAAATGCATTTTTTGTAATATGTATTATAAACTTCAATAATGGGGATTTTCATGTACGTTTCAAATAGCAGACAATCATTACCGGGTAGTTGCCAAACTTCTTGTTTGTAAGGCTTATTAATTTTTAATGTCTCCAATACTCTCAGCACACTGGGGTTCTTTCTAAGCTTTCTTTGATTTTATTTTGATCCGATTGCGTACAAGTTAAAACTTCAGATTTCAATATCAATGATAGGTTTGAAGGCACTAGTCGTTAGCATATTACACACATACACATTGTGAAATCTGTGGTAAAAGCTATAAAGTGCATTTTATTTTATGTATGGTCAAAATAGTGTGTTGTTACTGACAAACTTCACATTAGAATAAATAAAACAATTTACCCTTGCTTGTCTGATACCATGTTCTTCACTGAACAGTATTTTATTGAATATTAGAACTGTACATTTCTGCTATAGTACATGCTTTGATCAATAATAAGAAATTATAACGATAAAAACATGTATTGACAATGATTACCTCTTTCAACAACTTTTGTAATGTTTCTCCATTTGGTACAAAACCACAAAGTAAACGCGTTTCACTTACTTTTTTTTTTTAATCAAATTAGATGTGGAAACAAGTTTTTTGGATTATATATTTTTAGCTTTTTGACTGGACTGAGACTCAGGATTTTCATCTGTCGCATTCATTTAGAGAATGAACAGATTAAATTTAAACTAATAAGCTATAAAACTGACACGTAATCATCATCATGACGGTGTACACTATTTTATAAAGAATCACTAAGTTTAATAAAACATATTGTTACCAAACGAGGTTCACAAAATGTGTTCTTGCACATAAATGGAAGTTGATTGAGTCACAATCCAATTCAAGATGGCTGAATGGCAGCCATTTTGGTTGTAATTTTCACTTTATTTAGCACAATTCAACTTTAATCTCAAATTCACATTTCTGAAATATTAAATTCAACTTTGGCCACTGTGTGTACTTGACATTGAACATGTACATGGTGAAGATACAAGATGAAGAATGTAAATGTAGCCGTTCAATTATCATATATCTACAAGAAAAGTCGGCTTGTTATTTTAGGGAAGTATTTGGGTCAATAAAATAGCTTGACAATATCTGTGATCAAGCCATGCTACTGTAAAACACTTTATTTTAGATGGAATTAATTTTTGCTGAAAAGATCTTTTGGGTGTTTTGTATGGAATTTATTTTCACTAATTTTTGACAAGTTCAATGTAAAATATAGGAAAAAGGTATATTCGCTGGATTTTATTTTCACTGAAACATTCCTTCAGCGAAAATTAATTCCAAGCGAAAATAAAGTATTTTACAGTATTTAACTACTGTCATCTTTGGACAAAACTTTCCAATAATTGAACTGGCATGCTAAGAGTGACCCACAGAAAACATGTCACGTAAATAACTGGGTAACGGTAGCTAATAATTGTTTGAATAGATGAATGTATTTCATAATCTTCAGATCAAATGTTAGTATCAATAGAAAATCAAGTTATGTTATTATAATATTGATGAAAATCTTCAATATAGCACACAATCTAGCACAGTATGTGTGCATTTTTGAGTGCTTTGAAGATGTTATTATTGCATGAAAATTAAAACAGTAATCATTAACAATTTTCTTTGATTCAGTCCATAATCAAGGTCATAATCAGAAAAAAAGTCAAATTTGAATCAAATTTTCGGTAGTAAAAAAAAAAATGGGTATGAAATTTCCCGCAAACAACTATGTTTAGAGTTTATAGCCATCAATAGAGAGCACAATGCAAGACTGTGATGTCAGTCGAAGTGATCATAGTCCATATCAATTCCAATTTTAGTGTATTGTGGAATAATTAATTCAAGTTGCATGAGAGGGCACCTTGTGATTGGCGGATCATGGTTTGATTTTGTCAAACTATCCCACAATGCACTAAACTTCAGGATTGCGATATGGTCTTTGTACAGGTCAATTTTTATCTAAAATTAAATTTCTGAAAAAGCACTCGATGAGTATGATTTTTTTTCTTTGTCTCGGCTGATAATGACACCAACTCAGCTGATAATGATACCAATCTAGTTTTTGCTCGATCATTTTGTCTCGTATACAGTTGAAATATAGATTAGATGTATAGTAAAATATTCATCCAACAGTGTCCCTGGTTTTCAAAATCCCACCCATGAAATTACAAACCAACATTTTTTAATCATTTGTTAATTATTTTTCTTTTGCAAAAAAATAAAAAAAAGCATTTTAGAGAAGACATCAATTCAATTTCAAAAATTAGTGAAAAAAATGTACAACCTTAAAACACAACACCCAATCATAGAAAATCAATGATATCAAATTTCAAGTTCATCTATAAAATCTAGTAATTTTGTATCTTCAAAAAAAAAATTGCATATAAGCTTTGCTTTTTATTTTAATATCTTGAAGTTTTTGCCTACTAAAACATCCCACAATTATCAGTGAGCAATTCATTGTGGGAACTACATCTGGTGGCAACTGGTGTGTGTTTACTCTCCTTATAGAACAAAGGGGATGATACATTTGCGTTGTCGCGGATAGTTGCTGAACTCTCTCTTGTAGTTCCTGTGTTTACCTTTTGCCCAGACGGCCATCTGATAAAACCCTGCTAAAGTGAAGAGTGCAGCTGAAACAAATGATAGATTTATATAATGGCTTCATTTATTTTGTATACAAAAGATGCGATTGTTGGCAATTAATTGACAAATGTTTGGGATAATACCAGCAATGTCTCAAATTTACACGAAAATAAAATCATGGAAATATATCATTCTAATCATTATTTCTGTTATTCATTAAATTTCATATAAAGAACATGTGACTTATAATATTACGCATACATGTGATACTTACTACAGCTACAGTGGTACTATTCAAAACAAAAGTCAAGATGACACACTACGCTGGACGGCGGTGGTTATCATACGATGACATCACTCTTTAATTAAGAATGTGTAACTCACCTGGAACACACTGTGTCATCAAAGTAAAACATGCCCAGGCACCTACTTCATATGTGTAGTTAGGACAACTTACAAAGTTGAACATTAGCGTCATTGGATCACCAGTCGGATATGGTATCTTTCTTTCTTTTGAACCTTCTGGACGAAGATTTCGCAAAGTTAAATGGATTGAAAAGTTTCCATATTCATTCAACTGGAAAAAACAAAGAACAAAAAAACATGGTTTTATTACAATACATTTTTTTAGGAAAGCTGTTTGTTCATGTTCTAGTTCCAAGTTTAGAAAACTTATTTTGTGGGAATCCTTGAAAATTCATTTGAATATTGAGAGAATAAAACACATTGGATGGGATGAATATGTATGAATTGAATTCAATTGACAGTGGTGCTTGGATCCACACACATTGACCTCTGACCTCTGACCTCTGTTACTGTGGCCTGCAGTAATTCATAGTGATGAATATATTTCACCACAATTCATTCAAATTCAGTACATCCAATACGTCATCGTTATGAGATACCAAATGTTAAACCAAAGTGTAAAATGTCAGGTCATATGGTCTATTTACAATATGCATAATATGCAAAATAATTATTGCTCACAAAATAACCATCTAGGAGATGTGTATATCATGAACACCCCAACATGTTATCCATGAATTAATTTAGTACCAGGAGAATTTTTTCGGTTCAGTGGAATAAGTCAGTAAATGGAATAAGTCTCAAAAACATCAACAAATAACAGAGCATGTTCCTTCGACCATTTATTTTATAATTACATGTAATTTCTAACGATAGACTGCAAAATGAAACAGCATCTGGCCTAAACCATTTTTCACAAGAAATTGATAATGACGAGGCTAACTGCAATCAAAGATGCAATGATTACATACTGCTTCACATGCACACCTAATTCTGACAACCATTTTGTTTTTATAACCAAACACTGTTTCTCTAGATCAAAGTTACAGCTTCTTATGTTTATTTGTAAGCTTTGTCTTAGTTACTTTATATGATTTCAGACACTTTAAAACAGATTTTTCTTTTTCATAATATACCAAGACTTACCAAAAAGCCGATAAGCCCAGCATAGACTTGGATATCTCCAAATGCTAAAAGAAGAAAATAAAACATTCATGTTACATATCTAGCCAATAATGTTATGAAGACATACATTATTTTTTTATGGACTGAATATAGCTTTTGCGGCCCGAGGTCATACAAGGTCATTCATTCAATTTTATTTTTACTATTCATTCAGATGTTTACAGTGCAGATTGATATGCCCAATGTCACAATGTCAACAAGATGTGCGAGAGTTCTTAAATGTATTCACCCTTGCAACATCTTCGAGCTACTGGTAGAATCTCTGCTGAAACCCTGACCAGAATGTTTAATCTCTTGAATATGGTTAGGCTTTAGGCTGTGTTCGAAAGCTGGTTGTAGTTAGTGTGGCTGATTTTTTATAAAGATATACCCCACAATGTAAAGGAAAATACTTTCATCTCCAGCAACACTACCGTATGTATCAGTAACTGACTGAAACACCGTGCATACCGCTCTAAATCTATGAAGGTATCTGTATACAGCTAGAATGTTTAGATCGATCACGTTTTCAAACAGTTTTCACAAAAATAATTTGTCTAGTCATTAACGAGCTATGTTTCACCATTTTAGGAGATGACTAGTTGATGATGTCACTATTTCAAATTGTGTGCAAGAACCAATCAGATTTACTACTCATTGGGTGTAATATGACAATATATTATGCAGCTTTATGTCACTACTACTGCATGATACTTGTGATAAACAAGATTATGTCTTGTCTCTGTATCTGCTTTGAACAAAATCAATCTAGACATATTTAGTGTAGATGCTAAATAGATGACTGGAACACTAAACCTAATCTTGTTTTGTATTAAATTCAATAGGGACTAATTACCAAGTCACAGAGTTCCTGTTGTTCAATAGTACACAAAACTGAAATGAGTCAGCCATTTTGAATCACGACAAACACATGTTAGGGAGTGTAACATGATATACAATGCAGTTGTAAAGTTTGATAGCAATTAGTAAACGCATGTCACAGATATAGCTCTAGAACAGCAAAGACAAAATGCCTGTCATTTGACCAAGTTTGAACAAGATCTGACCATTCATGACGAAGATCAAGGTTAAATATAGCAGAAATGCTTAATTTTTAAAATTTAAAGTGGATGCCATTTTGAATCTGATCATCAAACAATTATGGAACATGATGTATTAAAGATGTACATTAAAAGTCTGAACATAATCAGTCAATGCATGTCAGAGATACAACTCTGGAACTGCACTCATTAAAACAAAATGACTTCCAGCTTGTTGAACCTGATCTGAAAAACAAAATGATGTGCATCCAGGTCTATCTATGTAAAGTTTGAATGTGATCTGGCTAGAAATATCCAAAATACAAAAATTGTGATAAGGTTAATCGACAGGTCTTAAAACTTAAAAGTTGCTGATTGTTTTAAAAATCACTCAAGGTAAGGTATTACTTATGTTACTTACCTGGTGATGTGTACAATGGATGATTAACATAATAAGCAACAAATCCAGCAAATCCCCAGTAGTAACTGCAATTCTACAAATATATATATATATATCTTTATTTCGTACTGTGGCTATTGGCTTATGAACAGATACAAATAAATACGTAATAAATTAGATTGGAATGGTCGCAGAAAAAAGTAAAGAAAAACAAATATAAAATCATATACATAACATTTGCATAGTTAAGTGTTCTCTTCAAGCATAAGCTGACGTACTTGAAAACTATAAAATATAAATTTACCAAGGTTTAATTGTATATATGGGGTTTGATTCTGAAATAATGAAATAAACTTTATCTCTGTAGGTGGGGAGTAGTAATACTGTGCAATAAACTTCAACCTTAGGGAGTTATATTTGGGACAAACTAATGTAAAGTGGTATTCGTCCTCAATTACATTACAGCCAAAAGTACACAACCTCTGGTTACGTGGAGTACCACTGGCCCTACCCTTTTCAATTTGTAGTACATGGGACGAGATCCTTAATCTACATAAAGCATTTCTGTATATTGCATAAGACTGACCAATATTTGTAAGATATTTCTCACATGTTAATTCATGTTTCACCTTACAATGAGTTATAGTTTGAGACTTCTATTAATTTCAGAGCTCCAATCTTGTCTGGAAATATCAAAGC